AAACATCAAAAACGGAATCCACTCGAAAAATCGAGTCGAACGACCCAAAGCCGGTTAAACAAAGTATGACGGTAAGTCCTACGGAATCCACAACAACCCAAATTGAATCACTCCCTTTTGTGGTCATTGACAAACCCGCCACAAAATCCATAGAGATAATACCCCACTTCCCCTCCGGAATCCTAAAAAATTGCATCAATCCAAATGGCTTCTAATTCAAGTCGTGATTTCCAAGACTTCCCAACAATGAACCTGTTTTTTTAATTATCTTTCTCTTCATTTTTGAACTGATTGAATAACTTAATACATATACATTTACAATCTTTCAGAGTTTGTATAATACATATAGAGGTCATATCTAGCCACTCTGTCTTAACCATGTTTGTAACAATAATCATTTTCAAGCTATAAAAATGTTTGTGTTTGTTTATCTCCGAAAGTGTATTAGTTTTCTGATGAAAAAAATTGATTCTGAATTAATTGATTCTACAAAATTGGTTTTAATTAAAAGTGAATTGAAGATGAAGTGATTTATGTTTTGATAAATTTTTGTAAAAATGAGGTGAACAATAAATTTTAATGTAAAAGTCAGGTTTAATCTCAAACTATAAATTCTATCTTAAAATAAAATAAATTCTAGAGACAAACAATTCAATTTTAAAAGAATCAAACACTTCACAGAATCATTACAAAATCAATGTCATCATATAGTATTCCTTTGATAACAGCTATAGTATTTTTATTATTATCTTCTTTGGATGAGGCAGTATCTAAGTCACATTCAAGGCAAAAATAATATTAAAAAAAAAGTTGTAGAAATTGGTAAGTTTGGTGACCAAAAACCTGAAATACTGTATTCGTGACATATTGATGTGATCATAAAGTCACATTTGATTAAAGTAAACTAATTATTAACATGGCTAATGGAGACTCAAAATTGTTTTACTCTTCTTTTATCAAGGCTTAAAAGTTGACAATTTTTTTTATAATACTTCAACATGTTCAATAATTTGGACTCTTCCTTTTCCTTATTTTTTTTTTATCTAAATCTTGATATGACTAATCTAAGATAATCCATCTCACCATCCACTTGCGGATAGCCCGTTTAAAATCAGAGCAAAACTCTATATAGATGTGACTCAACTCAGAAATTGTTTGCATATGACTGAATTCGAACCTAAGACCTTGAAAGAAGCACCCTCTCAAAACTCAAGTCTTCACCGCCAGACCAACCCCTAAGATTTAATTTGGAGTCTTCCTTGTCTTAATGACTTTTCAATATCAAAATTTCTCTGCCTGGCCCACCCCAGACACGTTTTCTGATATGAATGAGACTCTTCCAATTTAAGTAATAATAATTAAATAAATCACCACTTGCAAAGTTGTGTTTAGCAATACTATTTTGATATAGTCCAAGTTTAACAGTATTCTTCAATATTCTGAGTTTCATGGTCAGAAATTTTGCACTGCATGGCAGCCATTTTATGATTATTTTAACATAATAAAGTGAATGTTACATCCATATTAAATGTTTCATAAACTAATCATATATTATTATTATCAAGGCCTCTAAGGCACAAGTATCATCATATATAAACTATAATGATCAGAAACAGTGATTGTAGCAGCAGAAGAATGTTTCATTTATTATGGTTATTTACCATCAAATTCACATACCTTTTCTATTTTGTTGTAGGCCAAAACAACACCAATTCACAAGAGCTACTTGATTATAGATATGCTTGTTTGGACCAATCTTCTATTGCTCCCTCTACAACATATCAAACAAACCTCAACAATTTAATCTCTTCATTATCATCAGATTCTGCTACAAGCAATGGTTTTGGAAATAGAACTTCAGGTAATGATCAAAACAACATAGTTTACGGACAATACCTGTGCCGTGGTGATGTTAATAGAACTCTTTGCCATTCGTGTGTCCAAAACTCTAGCAGATTGCTGAAACAACACTGTCCTAATAATGCATCGGCAATTTTGTGGTACCCTTTTTGTCTTCTGAGGTACTCAAATCAGAACTTCTTCGGTAACCTTACTATAAGACCGAGGATTCCTATGTTTGATGCAACACAGAACTTGACTAGTGCTGGTGAATTTGATACTGATGCGAGGATTTTGATGAACGGTTTGATACAAATGGGGTCACGGACACCTTTAATGTTTGGTACGCATATGTTTAACATAAATGGTACTCAAAGAAGGTATGGTTGGGTGCAGTGTAGTAGAGATATTACTAGTGAGGAATGCGGAACTTGTTTGAGTAATATGCTCGAGGATGTTGAGAATTGTTGCGAGGAGAAGAAAGTGTGGAGAGTTTTTTCTCCAAGTTGTATTATGATGTATGAAACTCAGCCGTTCTTTCTAAATGATACAGTTTCTAATGCTCCTGTGCCTCAACAAGGTATGATTTTTATTTCTTTTTCTTTGAATTCACCTCATATTTGTACTTCATTTAACATCGGTCAGTCTTGTTATTGCAGCCAAAGAGAAGGACGGAACGAAGTCATGGATCATAATAGTCATTGTAGTAATCGGAACAGTAGTAGCAGCTCTACTCGCTTCGAGCACATACTATTTATGCTGCTTAAAGCATAGAAAAAGTAATCTCTAAATCTCAATAGTTCTTAAATTTGAAACTATCTACAATCGCAGGTGGCTTTTAGGATGGAGAAGTGTCTCACATGGTCTAATGTGGACCAATGCTTGAAAGTTATTTGAAACTCTAAGAATGACCAATGCTGGTCTCCACAAGTAAAACCTCATGGTCCCATCCGTTATTAGGATCGAGAGGGTAATCCAATCGGTGCAGGTTCAACAAAAAACAAGGAAAACGTATTGATTTTGTCAATTAGCACCGATTTGGTCACTCTCTCTTTCCTAAAGACATGGAGAACCCCGAACTTTAGGTTAAAGGTGCCGAAATTCTGAGCAGTTTTCAAGCATCAATTCACCATAGATTACATGTGACACTTCCCATCCTAACAATTCCCTTATTCCTGTAATTATTCTAATAATTCCATCTTTTCAGATAGAAGAAATTACAGGCAAAATCTTAGTCCAATCTTTACTCAAGATCAGTCTGACATTGAGGAGACCGGAAATACTGACCTATCAATGATGCCTTTGAGTACCATTCTGAAAAGTACTAATAATTTTAGTGATGAATATAAATTAGGGAAAGGTGGATTTGGAACTGTCTACAAGGTAATAAACTAGATTAACATACATAATACTTAATATATTTTATTTGTTAGATTTCTTCCCTTACAACTTTCTTACACAGAAAATTTGAAAAATGTTTTAGGGTGTTTTAGCTGATGGAAGAGAAATTGCTGTTAAAAGGCTTTCAAAAACATCGGTTCAAGGTGTGGAGGAATTAAAAAATGAAATAATATTGATTGCCAAATTGCAGCATCGAAACCTTGTGAGACTATTGGCTTGCTGCATTGAGCAAAATGAAAAGCTTCTTATCTATGAATACTTGCCTAATTCAAGCCTTGATTTCCACCTATTTGGTATGACTCCCCAACAATGAACCTGCTTTTTATTAATGGGATTGCTTTTAAACCTGCTTTATATTTTCTCATCAGATATGGTGAAGGGTGCACAACTAGATTGGAAACAACGATTAAATATTATTAATGGGATTGCAAAAGGGCTCCTATATCTTCATGAAGACTCTAGGCTCAGAGTTATTCATAGAGACTTGAAGGCTAGCAATATACTGTTAGATCATGAAATGAATCCAAAAATATCAGACTTTGGACTGGCAAGAACATTTGGAGGAGACCAGGATGAAGCAAGTACAATTAGAATCGTAGGAACTTAGTAAGTATAAACTAGTTTGCTTTCTTTCAATAGTACAATACTGCATACTTCCTCCAATGAATTATAGCATCAAATTTAATAGCCCACTTCACATGGACTAATAAGAAAGGCGAGTTTTATCGAATGAAATCATACAGTCAAAATATTACATCTTAACAAAAAAATTATCTTTTCTTGCTAAAAGATGTTATACTTTTATCGGAAGGAAAGCAACAAAAAAAAAAGTGACGGGTAATTTTAATTCAAGTCAGTTGAATGTTACTGATACATTGATTCTGAGCAGTGGATATATGGCTCCAGAATATGCTATGGAAGGGTTATTTTCGGTGAAGTCAGATGTTTTCAGCTTTGGTGTTCTTTTGCTAGAGATCATAAGTGGAAGAAAAAGTAGCAAATTCTATCTTTCAGAGGATGGACCGAGCCTTCTCATATATGTAAGTTTCATTACATATATATTCATTTTTTTCTAAAGGAAAAAAATACTCACTTATAATTTAAATCTAATGCATGTATAATTATAGGCATGGAACCTTTGGCGTGAAAGAAAAGAAATAGAGTTGATGGATCCTTTGATAGAAAAGACATGTGTACCTGGTGAATATTTGAAGTGTATACATATTGCACTATTGTGTGTACAAGAAGATGCAGCAGATAGGCCTACAATGTCAAGTGTTGTTCACATGCTTGTAAGTGACACGCTGACTCTGCCCGGCCCTACACGCCCTGCATTTTCTGTTGGAAGAGCTGTCGTCGAACGGGCTGTTGTTGACCGAGAGTCTTCGTCAAATACTTCTATCTCTGCCAATGAAGTAACCTTGTCTGAATTGAGGCCTAGATGAACAAGGAAACTAGACATGTTTTTCATCTTAGCTTGTGTAGGATTCAGAAAACTTGTAGGGAACTGTTAGTTACTTAAAACACAGAACATCATGTTTAGGAAGATTACATAAATTTTTGGTGTGTAAAAAGGATTGAGTCTTGAAAGTATATATATTAGGTATTTGTTATGGCTTGTGCTATTTTGTACAGCAGACTTCTATTTTTCAGGCAAAACTTTGTTCATTCATGACAAAAGCTTTGGGCTGTTACCATTTAAGAACAACGCGCAACTCAAATAAGATATTTTTTGTATCAAATAAAACTATGCTCATTACTTATACGGCACTGAAATCAAAATAATTGTTGAGCCAATCAGAATTCTCATTTTCTCTTAAATGCACAAAGAAAATGCTTAGGAGCACATAAATTTCATCATTTTTATTATGATTCTCGTCTGCTTTAAGAAAGGCGTGAACTTTGCCGCTGACTTCAATCCAACTGCTACCTGGAATCCTCATCATCCCTTTTTCCTTCATCTCTGTCCTTAATCTTGACACATCTGACCACCTACCTGCTGCAGAATAAGCATTTGACAACATAACATATGACGATACATCATCAGGATCCAACACCAAAATATTTCTTGCTGCAAGCTCCCCTAACTCCAAGTTATGGTGGATTTGACATCCCCCAAGTATAGCTTTCCAAAATCCGATTCCTGGATTGAAAGGCATACGATGAATGAAGCCCTGGGCTTCTGTAAAACGTCCAGAGCGAGCAAGCATGTCAACCATGCAAGCATAATGCTCAGGTTTTAACAAATCGGGACTCTCTATCCTAGCTTTATTGAAATACGAGTAACCCTCGTCAACAAGACCGGCATGATTACAAGCCAAGAGTAGTCCTAATAGGGATACCCTATTCGGTTTGATGCCTACAGAACACATTCTTTCGAACAAGCTTATTGCCTCAACGCCTCTTCCATTATGTGCATAACCACATATCACAGCATTCCATGACACTACATTCCTTTTATAAATCTTATCAAACACCAAGAGACTTTCTTCCATGCTTCCACACTTTGCATAAAAGCTAATAAGCGAATTACCAACAAATTCATTAAGTTTACCCAGAAACTTGATTGCACACGCATGAAAACTTCTCCCAATTCCAAGTGAAGCTATACTAGAAGCTGCAGAAATCACACAAGGAAACGTAGACTCATTCGGAACAAACCCTTCTCTAAGCATGTCAATAAAAAATCTCACAGCCTCTTCGTTATGTCCTGTTTTACTACACCCACCAACCATCGCATTCCACGAGACAACATTCCTCTCCGGCATCTCGTGAAAAACCCGAAAAGCATCTTCAAACTTTTCCGTCTTCAAATAACCACCAATCAGCGTTGTATATGACACCACATTAGGATACCGAGTATCCTCGAAAGCCATCTGCGCTTCCTCTATAGTACTCAACTTCACATACAAATCAACAAGTGCACTTCCAACAAACACATTACTACCAAGCCCGGTTTTAATAGCACAGCCATGAAGCTGTTTACCAACAACAACATTTCCAAGCCGGGTCGAAGAGTGAAGCACGGTTCCAAAAGTGAACTCATTTGGTCGAATCGTCGATGCAAACATTCTCGAAAAAAGATATATAGCATCTTCATGGGAATGCCGCCTGGAGAAACCACATATTATACTGGTAGCTGATTGAACAGTTAGTTCAGACATTTCATCAAACATGTTGCAGGCAACATCGAAAGTGGTTGAATCAAACCCTTTTGGTTGAAACTCTGTGTGTAAAACATTGATTTTATCTTGGACATGAACGACTTTAGTTGTATAGCTACAAGAAAGAAAATGGGGTGTGATCCATGAAGGTATAGAGAATCTAGAAACTATGTTTTTCATGTGAGTTTTTGTATGGTTTTGGATTGGTGTTTTCTTATCACTGTTGTGTTAATGTTTGACAAAATTTAAGAATTGGTTACAAAGCTAAACGAGTTTCGTGTACAATACGAGGTGGCTGTCGGAGCTGGATGTGATAGGTGAAAATTATGAGTTTAAATAAAATTTGGTGAAAAGGATTGATATAAGGTAAAATATAATAAATAAAAAAAGTTGTTTAGGTTATTTGAAATGAAAAAAACAAAATTGTTTTTCATGATAAAATGTTCAAATAATAAAATTAAATTTCTATTGTATTTTATTTCATTCCACTGTATTCATTTTAAAAGTGAACAAGAACACTTTTGGCCATGTTCAGCTAAAAGTATTGGATGCTGATAAGAGACTAAAAGAGATTTAGTCTGATTTTCCTACTCTTCCTACTCTTGTTTCTCCAAAGCAGTGTGGTTTTGTCAACGAGAGGAAAATCAAGGATAGCATATGCCTTGCTTCTGAGGCGATGAATCTGCTCAACCATAAGTGCTTTTGGGGTAATATAGCTCCCAATATTGATATTTCAAAGGCTTTTGATTCATTAAATTGGACTTTTTTGCCTAGAGTTCTAACTTCTTTTGGATTTTGTGACAAATTATGATGTTGGATCCAAATCATCCTAGAATATGCTTATCTTTCTATTGGTATGAACCGAAAACAAATTGGTTTTTTCAAATGTTTTAATGGCGTAAGACAAGGCGACCTGCTATCTCCTATTCTTTTTGTTTTGGATGAAGAGGTTCTCAACAAGGGGCTTTCTATGCTTGTTAAGAATAACCATATATCTCCTATGAAAAACACTAGGAATTTGTTTGTTCCTTCTCATACACTTTATGCGGATGACATCTTGATTTTCTATAGGGCTGGCCCCAAATCTCTCAATTTTATTTCTAATCTACTGTCTCGTATGCAAGTACTTTGGGTCAGGCTTGTAATGCATCTAAGTCCTTGATTTTTACTAGCGAAATGGATCAGTCTATACATAAATCATTGTTGATCTATTGTGTTTCTCCATGTCCTACATTCCTTTCATATACCTTGGTGCTCCTATTTCCTCAAGCATGCCAAAGAATATTCACTTCCAATATTTAGCAGACAAAATCAGGCTCAAACTCGCGGCTTGGAAAGTTAGTCTCTTTTCCATGGCTGGCAGACTTCAATTGGTGAAATAGGTTATTCATGGTATGTTAATGCATACCTTCACTATTTACAACTTGCCTAAGGGTTTAATCAACAATATTGAGGCTAACTTCATCTGGAGCGGTGATTTGGATAAAAGAAAACTCGTCACGGTGGCTTGGAAAAAATGTTGCAATTTGTCATACCCCAAATGTTGACCCCTAGATTCCATTATCATTCTAGGTGCATAAAGCATATGTTATCTAACTCTAACCTCTTTTAAGTTAATCTTTGTCAAGATGTAGATGAATTAGGGTTTCACACTGTTAAAATCAAGAATCATGTGGACTAATCAGCCAAGATTTTGGATTGATCTTCTACATATCAAGTCTTTACATCATCAAGAGGTTCATATCTTAACAAGAACAAATGTTATTTGAGGTTTTTACCAAGAGAATTGAAGCAGTGTTGTGCAAAACTCTAATTAGGGTTTCTAGTTGAAAAAGTCAACTATAGTTTGACTTTTGGTCTAAATGGGTTTCCAAAGCTTAAACCATGGTCCATGATGTTTCTATGACTTATTGAAGTCCCCTCAAGAAGTATGAAAGGTTCAAAAACCCCAGAACACTAAGGATCGATCTTGAAGATTTCAACTGTTCTGTTCGTTTGTCTAGAAAGTCAACTCTTTGACTTTTAGGGTTTTGACCCTAAATTGAAGCAATCAAGGCTTTCGACATCATGTTATGCATAACTAGTGAGTTTGGTGAAGATTTAATCAATAATTGATGGATAACTTGTGAATTAAGAAATTAGGGTTTATGAAAAACCCTAATTACAAGCTTATTTGGAATGGTCATAATTCTCAAACCACACATCTAAATTGAGTGGTCTAAAACTGGTTGGAAAGCTCTTGAGAAGTCCTACAAATGTGTTCTAGAGGGTTGATGTCAAAATGCATAGATTTTGAGTTATGAGCTCATCAAGTTGTGAAGGATTTCCACACTTAGAAAATTTTCTTGTTTCTTGACTTGTAAGTCAAATTTTGCAGCCAACTTCATGAGGATTTTTGACCTAGTTCCCTTTGGAATCTGAAATTTGGCCAAACATGAAAATTGTAGATCATATTTGGGTCTTTTTAAAAATTACAAGATCATTTTCACAGCCTTTGTGGTTAGGGAGAATCGAAGAGAGCAAGTTAGGGATTTTCCATGCCACAAAACCAAGTTCAGCACTTGTGTTTTGATGTATAAACCACTGAAACCTCTTCTAATCACTTGTTTAAATCATTCTCTTATGTTTATAGACTTAATTGATGAGATTACAATGGACTACCACGAGCAAAAACCAGAGATTGGATATATGATTTGTTTATTCATGCAAGTGGATGCAAGTGGCAAGGAGAGAGAAACTTTTTGCATTTTCTGCTACATGTAACAGCCCAAATTTCATTAAATAATTAATTATAGTAATTAATTGATTTAGTGAGATTTTTATTAATGTTGGAATTAATTTCTATTAATTGGAATTTGTAGTAGAGAATTGAGAAGGAAATAGAACGGAAAGAAAATAATAGAGAGGAAGAAAAAGAAATAGAAGAATATAAAAAGGGAATTGGAGAGAAAGAGAAAGATAGAAAAGAAGAAGAAGAAGAGAAATGAAGAGGAAAAGGGAAAAGCTTGGAGAATCTTCAAGAACCGATTTCGAAGCTCCGATTAATCGAGGTAAGGGTGAGAAACATTGCTATTTAATCATTGTATGCTATTATGTATGTTGGGTTTGGGTTTGGGGATGTTTTCATCACTTTCCAATTAGGGCAAATGTTGGATTAATCGGTAGATTGATGATTTAATCGGTTGAAACTGAGCAATAATGTCGTAGAATAGTCGGGTAACATGTATTGATGTTGTTTGTACTGATTTGGATGTGTGAGAGAGGGTTGATGATGGATTGGCGAAGGAGGAACAGAATAGGGTTCTGTTCTGCGCAGGTTCGCTGGCTCTCGCCAGGCGAGCGAAGGCGAAGCTTCGCCAGGCGAAGCCTAGCGAATGTTGGCGAATAATTATATTTAAGTCCCAGTAGACTTCGCTGGTGGGTTCGCCAGGCGAAGTGGGATAGCGAAGGTTCGCCCAGCGAAGGTGCTGGCGAGTGGTGGCGAATGAAGTCAGTAGCTACTGACTTGGGCTCGCTGGGGAGTATCGCCAGGCGAAGCCTAGCGAGTGTTCGCTGAGAGAGTTCGCCAGGCGAAGGCCAGGCGAAGGTTCGCTGCGAGGGTTCGCCAGGCGAATAAAGGCGAATTTGACAGCATTTCCCTTTTGCTGTGTTGATCATGTGAAGATGGTTTGGTTGTTTCACATAGGTTAATACCTCTATGATATGAATAAGTATGTGATCCATGGTGATGATATGTGTTGTGGGTAGCCTTTGGGCGTGAATCCTAGAGTTGTGATATGAATGATTAATTGTAATCAGTTAAAATACATGAGAACATAATGATGATTATGTGTGTATTAATTGATGAGTTTGTGAATGTTTGATTGTTGTGTACAATTATGTAATAAGTATGCATGAGAACATTGTGGATATATGTGTGCATAACTTATAATTGTATGATTGGTATTGTGACGTGTATACCTTGTATGAGATGGCATGAGATAAAGAATAAACATACTATGAAAAATGTGTTGTGGATGCATATTGTTTATATGCGATTGTATGTTAAAATACATGAAGAATGCATGAGAGCATAATGATGGATATGCGTGCATTGCTTGATAGATGTTGTAAATGCATATTGTATGTATGTTAATAAACGAATGAGATGCATGGGAACATATCGTGGATATGTGTGCATCGTTAACAATTGTGAGAAATGCATGGGAATATATCGTGGATATATGTGCATTGTTTGATGATGTGGTAATAGCGTAAATGTCATGGATATATGAAGTATGCTTGTAATTATGATGGGTTTTGGATGATTGGGAAATATGTATGCGAATGTTGTGTGAATGCATGGGAACATATGTGATATGTGTGCATTGTTGTTGAATATGATGATGTGTGAAATGAATACATTGATAAATGTTTGATATATGTTGTATGTGCAATCATGATGAAATTCTCGAAGGGGTGAATTATTCGAATGCATGGGATTAAGACGCGGGAACGGTCTTAAGTGCATTTATTGTGATTGGTTGATTGTACATGCATCATTCAGTCAAGAGGCAATGTTTGTTAGTTTCGTGGAAACTAGTGGCTTGTCCCAAACCTAGAAGGGTGGGTTTGAAGCCTAGGGGACGGGCTTGGTTGTTATCGGTCTAGAAGGGTGGACCCGGTTTAAAGTAAAAACCGAAAAATGATAACGAGTTATCGGTCTAGAAGGGTGGACCCGGTTTAGAGTGAAAACCGAAAAAAGATAACGAAAGTCGGTACCGCATTGCATGAGTTGCATTGAGTTGTTGAGTCACATTAAAATATGATATATGCATGAAGGGATGCTTATGTGTGAATGATGATATGTTTGTTGAATACTTATGAAGCTTGCATGAAGAGATGCTTACGTGTGAATGTTAAGATTGTGGAATTGTGGATGTATGCATGATGTGAAATGTTTGGTGAATATTCATGTTGTATATATATATATATATAAGTGATGATGTAAATGACTATGAGTTGAATTGTGGTGAGAAATAGGGAGTTAATTATATGATACCTATATATACATGATTTTATGCTTTGATTATTATGGTAATATTTCTCACCCTTCTGCTGTTTTATAATGCTCTATGAGGCATTGCAGATTAGGATGCTGGAGTCCTTTTGTGAAGAATAGTCTTCATTCTTTTGAGTCT